TTGTTAAGAATAGTAATTAATAATAAATAAATAATTAAGGCTACACTATAAACATAAAGCTTTAAATATACTCTGTGATCAGTATCAGATACTGCTTCTAGTGAGCGGTGAGCGGTCTCATAAACCCGACCGGAGCACCTTTAGAGTTTCATCTTGGAAAACAATAGACAGCACAGCAATGTCACGCTACCACTGACTGGTGGTCTGTAGGCTGTGTAGCTACTGAGGCACAAAGACAAATCTCTCTACACACACACACAAATCCCCACATGCATTTGCAGATCTGCCACAGCAGAAGTTTAACAAAAGTCATGTCTAAAAAGAGCCAATTGAGAGTCTTGTCTGAGTTGTAACCGATGAATTGTCTGTATTTCCAGCTCTCTGATCTAAACTTAGACTGAGTCATTAATATGTTTGTCTGCTTTTACAGATTTCTCTACATATTTACAAATCTCAATACATTTGCTAATCTGATTACACAAACACACACATTTAGACATAGCTACACAATTCTCCACTCACATTTGTGAATAGTTTGCTACCATAGATGTGTTAAGATACTTGGAGAGATATTCACTTAGAAAAATCTTAGTAACAATTTCCACACAGAAATTCTTATTAAAATTCACAGAGAATATTTAAAGTAACCTTTTATTTATGTTTAAGACTAGTCTCTATTAAAACTTCTTAAGTTAACTTTACTAGCTGTTTTTTGTCTTTGTCAGTAAATTTTCCATGCCAGTTTTACTTAGACTATGTACTGTAAAACTTCCAATAAAAACAGGGTCCCAAATAAACACAGGTCTCCAATAAAGGCCTGGTCTGGATTTTATAGAAATTATCTCGATGTATAAAACCTCTTAAAACCCACCGGGTCGCCCGTGTTATATCCCAACTGGTGTTCAAACTAACTGGTTGCTGTACGTGTGTGCATGTTGTGTGCTGCAGCTGTGATGTGTCTCTGTCACCAGATTCGTCGACATTCACAAACATATTACTGGTGATTTTCAAGTCTCATATCTACAGTAGTAGATGTATAAGTGAGCCCTACATTACAGCCACACACAAAAAATAAATTCTAGAAAATATAAGTTTAAATAGCATCAAGCTGGATTTGATTTAACTGGATCAAAACCAATACAGTTCCCCAACGTATTGCTTTTGTCCATGAGCCACTGGAGTGACTCTATTTCACTGCTTCCAGTCATGTATTGATTGATTACGTCAGCACCCAGGTAACATTTATTTGGGGGTTGATCTAAAACAACTGGTTACCTCGTGCTCGTTGTTGAAAATATACAAATATGTTTATCAGAGTTCTTTCTCGAGGCTACCGTCACACTGACCACTATATTACAGCCCCCTATGACACTAGACATTATGACAAAGAAATATTTTCAGACAGTGAAGATGTAACTTAGATAATACTGTCAAAATATACGAAGCGATTGTTAGCCACACACAGATTGTTTGTGTTAGTTCATTCAGATTCACCGGCGCTGTAAACAACAGAGATGGAAAAAAACTCTGAATCGATCATAAATTCTGTACAGTCTGTGTCCGTTCCTCCATTGTTTATATTCCTTTAGTAGTAGTCCTTTCATGATGTGTGTGTGTGTGTGTGTGTGTGTGTCTGTGTGTGTGTGTGTGTGTGTGTGTGTGTGGGTGTCAAAGATGAGGGGGAAAGCAGTCGAGGTTGATAGATTTCACTGTATGATGTTCATTAGCAGGTATTTGTAGGCTTTTATCAGATAAACTCCATATCTGTAATACATGGCTCTTTTCTGTTGTTGACATCATATCATCACAAAATGTTCAATTCTTGTTACAGTGTCTCTCAGAGGTTTGAAGATGAAGTCGAGTTCTTTGGGAATCTGTTCTGTGCAGCAGCAGAGAGAGAACAGCAGACAGGAGAGAAGATACTGGAGCTGTTATCATCAGTGTGCAGATATAAAACATTCCCTCTTAGAGACAGAAACATGTATAATGAAGCCAATAAACATCAGTGTGATGTCCTGTTGGATCTGCACTCTCACCTGAAGGACTATGAGACTAAAACAGGGTTGAGTGTCCTTCCATCATTACAGTCAGTTTTCCAGTCAGCTCCTGCAGTCTGGTTCATAAACCTCTCAGAGAGAAAGACCTCCATCCTCCTGGAAGTGCTGAAACTCCAATCAGAGAAGAAACAAGTGGAGCTGACAGGCGGCTCACATGAAGAGAGTGAAGCGAGGAGTTTCCTACAGTGTCTGCCTTATATCTCACAGCTCAGGTAAGTCTGATAATATTAAGTTAAAATTGGTCAAAAGGTTGTTTGACTATAATTTATGAATGAACAAAATGTAGAAAAACATGAATGTTGTTTCTCAGTACAGTAATTATTCATCAGTATTTTAATATAGTTTGATATTATCACATCCTTGATTAGATATATTGTACATAAGATGGTTTGTAATGCAGTATGTTTTGTACTTTATCTTTGTTGTTTTCACTCTTCATCCATAATATAGTGTTTTAGCTGTGATCCAGAGTTCAATTGTCCTCTCGGCTGCAGCTCCTGGGGTTCACCCTTCATAGTTTTATAGGTCACATGCTGTTTTATTCAACAAAAGATAACCCTGGAAATCCTTTTTATGTTGCACTAGTACTGTAGGAAGTCAGTAATAATTTTACAGAATGATGCAGGTACAAACGTGTGGTCCAGTATTTCAGTATTTGGAGCTAATTGGTTCATAAATTATCTGGATAAAGAATTGCTTTTAGCCAATAAATTAACTGTAACTGAGCAGAATGTTTGAACGATTAATGATTCAGTGAATGAGAGGATTCTGATCAAGTTGTTTATTAGTAATATTGAAAACAAACTCCACGTCATCAGGATGTGATACCACTAGAAATCCTTATTCTGTTACTACAAGTGAAGGTTGTCCTTTGGACCTTGAGATTGGTTTGGGTCGGCAGATATGGATCTGATAGCAGTCAAAGAATCAGGGTAGAAGAGAGGATCCTCAGGTCAATGAGTCTTATTGTAGGAATTACAGTAGACAGACATAAACAGGCTGATGCCAGGGTGACAGTGATTGTGAGTATAGGTGTGTGTGTGTGTGTGTGTGTGTGTGTGTGTGTGTGTGTGTGTGATTTACAAAGAGAATAACAATATATGATATACTGGATAATTACAAAATATGAGAATGAACGTGTGAAAACTAACCTTACTTGATGAATGAAAACACGGTAGAAACACAAAGATAACTTACATTATGTTCTTCGACAGACAACAGCAGGTAAAAACCTGAACAAAGTGTCCCGAATTGTCTCGTGAAGACACTAACAGACACGACAGCGCCCTTGTGAACAGAGATACTCAGGCTTTCTTACAGTTCCACTAGTACTGTATGAAGGTTCATAGCGTTTTACACAGTGATGGCTGTTAAAACTTGTGTTCCAGTATTTCAGGCTTTGGAGCTCATTGATTAATAAATGTTTTTGGTGTCACGCTCCTGTCTGGGGGGGTAAGAGCACAATCATAAAAGAAAGAAAAAGGACTTTCCCTCCCTGGTCCCCAAAACAAAGCCGAACAAAGGATTCCCACTAAAGTGAGGTGATTTATTTTACAATCGTGAGATAGAAGTGGAACAAAGACTAGAAACCAACTTCAGGGGGAACCAAGGCCAAAACAATAAACAAACAGAGATCTAACCTCTCCGGTCATTGGACGGTTCTGACCTCCATTGAATTGTACTTACGTTTTTTAAGGTGAAGGTAATGTGTTCAATTGATCAGTGCACATGCATGTTATGTCACTGTGTTTAGTTTTATAGATGACATGCTGTTTTATTCAGTGGAAGATAAAAATAAGAAACATCTCCTATAGCCAAGTCGTATCTTTGGTTCATCCTATTTACCGGAGTAGTGAACAATGTTTCCATTACATTAGAACCTTACAGGGTGGTAATAATTCTTCCAGGTATGAGGAAGGACCTCAGGTGATTTTGACTGCAAAATGCATTAAAATATAAAATAATGATCAGTTTTATTTATGTTTATGGTAAGTGACCATGGTATATGTGGGATCCGCTGCACATTGGACGGTTCTGGCCTCCACGTTGTCCATTAAATGCTGATAATAGACACCTTGTAGGGCATTATCTCTTACATGATATACTGTATGATTACAAAATATGGGATGAACTTGCAAAAAATAATCTCACTTGATGGATGAAAACAAAGGGTGCTCTTATTGATCAGTCACCGATTGTAATTGGTTGATATTTGCTCTAATTAGTTTAATCTGCGATTTCTATAAAGACCGATCAGAAGAGCTGATCAGCTGACGCATTTATTTTATTCCACAGGAAAGTTATTTAGTCTTTGACGTACATAAATTTACTTGGGCTGGCCGCTGGTCTAAGATAAGGAAAAAGCAAGTATTTGTGAGTAAACAATAAAACATAAAATAAAGTGGATAATTAAATAGAATTAAAAAGGTGAAATAATCAATGACCTATAGAAATAGAAATATACCCTCCACAGTTCCACTGTCATTCTGTGGAAACTGCTAAACTCTAAGCTGCTCCCAATAATAAACAACAGGCTGCAGTTTAACTTGTGTCAGGTTGAACATGTTTCCTGCCAATCAATACACAGTGGTCAATTCATAATTTAATAATAATACTTAATCTAGAATGTTGTTAAGAATAGTAAATAATAATAAATAAAAAAGGCTACACTATAAACATAAAGCTTTAAATATATACTGTGATTGGTATCGGCTGATACTGCTTCTAGTGAGCAGTCTCAAAAACTCTGACTGGAACACCCTTAAAATTATTGTTACTTGGATTTTAGGTTGATAGATTTCACTGTCTGATGTTCATTAGTAGGTATTTGTAGGCTTTTATCCGATAAACTCCATATCAGTAATGTATGGCTCTTTTTCTGTTGTTGACATCATATCATCACAAAATGTTCAATTCTTGTTACAGTGTCTCTCAGAGGTTTGAAGATGAAGTCGAGTTCTTTGGGAATCTGTTCTGTGCAGCAGCAGAGAGAGAACAGCAGACAGGAGAGAAGATACTGGAGCTGTTATCATCAGTGTGCAGATATAAAACATTCCCTCTTAATGACAGAAACATGTATAATGAAGCCAATAAACATCAGTGTGATGTCCTGTTGGATCTGCACTCTCACCTGAAGGACTATGAGACTAAAACAGGGTTGAGTGTCCTTCCATCATTACAGTCAGTTTTCCAGTCAGCTCCTGCAGTCTGGTTCATAAACCTCTCAGAGAGAAAGACCTCCATCCTCCTGGAAGTGCTGAAACTCCAATCAGAGAAGAAACAAGTGGAGCTGACAGGCGGCTCACATGAAGAGAGTGAAGCGAGGAGTTTCCTACAGTGTCTGCCTTATATCTCACAGCTCAGGTAAGTCTGATAATATTAAGTTAAAATTGGTCAAAAGGTTGTTTGACTATAATTTATGAATGAACAAAATGTAGAAAAACATGAATGTTGTTTCTCAGTACAGTAATTATTCAGCAGTATTTTAATATAGTTTGATATTATCACATCCTTGATTAGATATATTGTACATAAGATGGTTTGTAATACAGTATGTTTTGTACTTTATCTTTGTTGTTTTCACTCTTCATCCATAATATAGTGTTTTAGCTGTGATCCAGAGTTCAATTGTCCTCTCGGCTGCAGCTCCTGGGGTTCACCATTCATAGTTTTATAGGTCACATGCTGTTTTATTCAACAAAAGATAACCCTGGAAATCCTTTTATGTTGCACTAGTACTGTAGGAAGTCAGTAATAATTTTACAGAATGATGCAGGTACAAACGTGTGGTCCAGTATTTCAGTATTTGGAGCTAATTGGTTCATAAATTATCTGGATAAAGAATTGCTTTTAGCCAATAAATTAACTGTAACTGAGCAGAATGTTTGAACGATTAATGATTCAGTGAATGAGAGGATTCTGATCAAGTTGTTTATTAGTAATATTGAAAACAAACTCCACGTCATCAGGATGTGATACCACTAGAAATCCTTATTCTGTTACTACAAGTGAAGGTTGTCCTTTGGACCTTGAGATTGGTTTGGGTCGGCAGATATGGATCTGATTGCAGTCAAAGAATCAGGGTAGAAGAGAGGATCCTCAGGTCAATGAGTCTTATTGTAGGAATTACAGTAGACAGACATAAACAGGCTGATGCCAGGGTGACAGTGATTGTGAGTATAGGTGTGTGTGTGTGTGTGTGTGTGTGTGTGTGTGTGTGTGTGTGTGTGATTTACAAAGAGAATAACAATATATGATATACTGGATAATTACAAAATATGGGAATGAATGTGTGAAAACTAACCTTACTTGATGAATGAAAACACGGTAGAAACACAAAGATAACTTACATTATGTTCTTCGACAGACAACAGCAGGTAAAAACCTGAACAAAGTGTCCCGAATTGTCTCGTGAAGACACTAACAGACACGACAGCGCCCTTGTGAACAGAGATACTCAGGCTTTCTTACAGTTCCACTAGTACTGTATGAAGGTTCATAGCGTTTTACACAGTGATGGCTGTTAAAACTTGTGTTCCAGTATTTCAGGCTTTGGAGCTCATTGATTAATAAATGTTTTTGGTGTCACGCTCCTGTCTGGGGGGTAAGAGCACAATCATAAAAGAAAGAAAAAGGACTTTCCCTCCCTGGTCCCCAAAACAAAGCCGAACAAAGGATTCCCACTAAAGTGAGGTGATTTATTTTACAATCGTGAGATAGAAGTGGAACAAAGACTAGAAACCAACTTCAGGGGGAACCAAGGCCAAAACAATAAACAAACAGAGATCTAACCTCTCCGGTCATTGGACGGTTCTGACCTCCATTGAATTGTACTTACGTTTTAAGGTGAAGGTAATGTGTTCAATTGATCAGTGCACATGCATGTTATGTCACTGTGTTTAGTTTTATAGATGACATGCTGTTTTATTCAGTGGAAGATAAAAAATAAGAAACATCTCCTATAGCCAAGTCGTATCTTTGGTTCATCCTATTTACCGGAGTAGTGAACAATGTTTCCATTACATTAGAACCTTACAGGGTGTAATAATTCTTCCAGGTATGAGGAAGGACCTCAGGTGATTTTGACTGCAAAATGCATTAAAATATAAAATAATGATCAGTTTTATTTATGTTTATGGTAAGTGACCATGGTATATGTGGGATCCGCTGCACATTGGACGGTTCTGGCCTCCACGTTGTCCATTAAATGCTGATAATAGACACCTTGTAGGGCATTATCTCTTACATGATATACTGTATGATTACAAAATATGGGATGAACTTGCAAAAAATAATCTCACTTGATGGATGAAAACAAAGGGTGCTCTTATTGATCAGTCACCGATTGTAATTGGTTGATATTTGCTCTAATTAGTTTAATCTGCGATTTCTATAAAGACCGATCAGAAGAGCTGATCAGCTGACGCATTTATTTTATTCCACAGGAAAGTTATTTAGTCTTTGACGTACATAAATTTACTTGGGCTGGCCGCTGGTCTAAGATAAGGAAAAAGCAAGTATTTGTGAGTAAACAATAAAACATAAAATAAAGTGGATAATTAAATAGAATTAAAAAGGTGAAATAATCAATGACCTATAGAAATAGAAATATACCCTCCACAGTTCCACTGTCATTCTGTGGAAACTGCTAAACTCTAAGCTGCTCCCAATAATAAACAACAGGCTGCAGTTTAACTTGTGTCAGGTTGAACATGTTTCCTGCCAATCAATACACAGTGGTCAATTCATAATTTAATAATAATACTTAATCTAGAATGTTGTTAAGAATAGTAAATAATAATAAATAAAAAAGGCTACACTATAAACATAAAGCTTTAAATATATACTGTGATTGGTATCGGCTGATACTGCTTCTAGTGAGCAGTCTCAAAAACTCTGACTGGAACACCCTTAAAATTATTGTTACTTGGATTTTAGGTTGATAGATTTCACTGTCTGATGTTCATTAGTAGGTATTTGTAGGCTTTTATCCGATAAACTCCATATCAGTAATGTATGGCTCTTTTTCTGTTGTTGACATCATATCATAACAGAATGTTCAATTCTCGTTACAGTGTCTTTCAGAGGTTTGAAGGTGAAGCCAAGTTCTTTGGGAATCTGTTCTGTGCAGCAGCAGAGAGAGAACAGCAGACAGGAGAGAAGATACTGGAGCTGTTATCATCAGTGTGCAGATATAAAACATTCCCTCTTAATGACATGGATGAATATGATGATGGTAATGAGAGGGAATATCAGTGTGATTTCCTGCTGGATCTTTACTCCCACCTGAAGGACTATGAGACTAAAACAGACTTGAGTGTCCTTCCATCATTACAGTCAGTTCTCCAGTCAGCTCCTGCAGTCTGGTCCATAAACCTCTCAGAGAGAAATACCTCCATCCTCCTGGAAGTGCTGAAACTCCAATCAGAGAAGAAACAAGTGAAGCTGACAGGCTGCTCACATGAAGAGAGTGAAGTGAGGAGTTTCCTACAGTGTCTGCCTTATATCTCACAGCTCAGGTAAATTAATTGTTCATCACATGACTTCAGTTACATTTGTGGAATTGTGTTCTTACATCTACAGCAACTCACTGTTAGTTTGTATTATTGAAAAGTAACTCCATGCCATCAGGATATGTTCTCATAAGTGTAATCATAAAAATACTGCTTTACACATTCCACTTTACAGCAGCATCACGTTATGTGACCTCTCCTTAGTTGAGCAGGTTGGCAGAGGAGAAGCAATGTCAGCAGTTTATTTTGGTCAAAGTGGTGTCGGTGTATCCCTCCCTCTAAGTACATCAATGTGTTAGTGTTGGATTTACTGTACAACTCATCAGTGGTTCACATTTTGAGGACTGTATCATGAACATATCTGGTCCCCAAATATAATTGGTTATGGATACTGGATGGGACACTCATTCACTGGCTACCCTGATTGTAGGAGAGTGAGAAGTGACTGAGCAGGATGTTTGAACTGTGAATAATCCAGAGGAGTCAATGAGAGGACTTTGATCAAGTACTTTTGCAAAGATAAATTAGGTAACATCTCTTCAGTTTAATTTTACAGCAATTAAAAAATAAAACAAAGGGTGCTCTTATTGATCAGTCACCGATTGTAATTGGTTGATATAAAAAATAAAACACAAGGAATGCTGAATTTATATTCCATTCAACTGAAGACTGGACTGAACTTTACTGATCACAATGAACATTGATCCAGCTGTATAGTGAGCAGCAGATTAAGATTTCAGACACCAGAAATAATCATCATTTAGTGTCAGCACAGACAGATGTAGTGTAGCAACTGTAATTTACACGTCTTTTAATTCAGGAGCAAGGTGAAGCATTACACAACAGAATTTTAAATAACTTTTGTTATTCCACTCTGTACATTTATTTATTGTGAATATATTTTACTCTTGAAACTTAATTTGATTTTATACAGCACAGCCCATCAGTAGTGTGTTGCTGTTTTATGCAGCTGAGATAAAATCATCATAAAATGTTTCCTTCTCTTTATTTCAGTTTTGTTCCTCAGTCGTCAGATCGTTATGAAGAAACCAAGTTCTTTGGGAATCTGTTGTGTGCAGCAGCAGAGAGAGAACAGCAGACAGGAGAGAAGATACTGGAGCTGTTATCATCAGTGTGCAGATATAAAACATTCCCTCTTAGAGAGAAATGGTGGGATTTCCAGCTGGACCTTTACTCTTATGGTTGTGAAACAGGCTTGAGTGTCCTTCCATCATTACAGTCAGTTCTCCAGTCAGCTCCTGCAGTCTGGTCCATAAACCTCTCAGAGAGAAAGACCTCCATCCTCCTGGAAGTGCTGAAACTCCAATCAGAGAAGAAACAAGTGAAGCTGACAGGCTGCTCACTTGAAGAGAGTGAAGTGAGGAGTTTCCTACAGTGTCTGCCTTATATCTCACAGCTCAGGTAAGTCTGATAATATTGAAAGGAAGTTTGTCAAAACATTATTTGACTATAATTTAAAATTGAACAAAATTTTGAAAGAGATGATTGCTGTCTGTCAGTGGATTCATTATTCAGCAGTATTTTAATATAGTTTGATATTATCACAGCTAATAACACACATACAATTAGACTATGTCATCTGACTGACAAATCTCTCTACAAACACACACAAATCCCCACATGCATTTGCAGATCTGCCACAGCAGAAGTTTAACAAAAGTCATGTCTAAAAAGAGCCAATTGAGAGTCTTGTCTGAGTTGAAACCGATGAATTGTCTGTATTTCCAGCTATCTGATCTAAAACTTAGACTTAGTCATTAACATGTTTGTCTGCTTCTACAGATTTCTCTACATATTTACAAATCTCAATACATTTGTTGATCTGATTACACAAACACACATATTTAGACATAGCTACACAATTCTCCACTCACATTTGTGAATAAGTTTGCTACCATAGATATGGTAAGATACTTGGAGAGATATTTACTTAGAAAAATCTTAGTAACAATTTCCACACAGAAATTCTTAGTAAAATTCACAGAGGATATTTCAAGTGACCTTTTACTTATGTTTAAGACTAGTCTCTATTAAAACGTCTTAAGTTAACTTTAATAGCTGTTTTTTGTGTTTGTCAGTAAATTTTCCATGGCAGTTTTACTTAGACTATGTACTGTAAAACTTCCAATAAACACAGGTCTCCAATAAAGGCCTGGTCTAGATTTTATAGAAATGATCTCGATGTATAAAACCTCTTAAAACCCACCCGGTCGCCCGTGTTATATCCCAACTGGTGTTCAAACTAACTGGTTGCTGTACGTGTGTGCGTGTTGTGTGCTGCAGCTGTGATGTGTCTCTGTCACCAGATTCGTCAGACATTCACAAACATATTACTGGTGATTTTCAAGTCTCATATCTACAGTAGTAGATGTATAAGTGAGCCCTACATTACAGCCACACACAAAAAATACATTCTAGAAAATATAAGTTTAAATAGCATCAAGCTGGTTTTCGGTCTCACTGGAGCAAAACCAATAAAGTTCCCCAACATATTGCTTTTGTCCATGAGCCACTGGAGTGACTCTGTTTCACTGCTTCCAGTCATGTATTGATTGATTACGTCAGCACCCAGGTAACATTTATTTGTGGGTTGATCTAAAACAACTGGTTACCTCGTGCTCGTTGTTGAAAATATACAAACATGTTTATCAGAGTTCTTTCTCGAGGCTACCGTCACACTGACCACTATATTACCGCCCCCTATGACACTAGACATTATGACAAAGAAATATTTTCAGACAGTGAAGATGTAACTTAGATAATACTGTCAAAATATACGAAGCGATTGTGAGCCACACACAGATTGTTTGTGTTAGTTCATTCAGATTCACTGGTGCTGTAAACCACAGAGACGGAAAAAAACTCTGAAGCGATCATAAATTCTGTACAGTCTGTGTCCGTTCCTCCATTATTTATATTCATTTAGTAGTAGTCCTTTCATGGTGTGTGTGTGTGTGTGTGTGTGTGTGTGTGTGTGTGTGTGTGTGTGTGTGTGTGTCAAAGATGAGGGGAAGAGCAGAGCAGGTTGATAGATTTCACTGTCTGATGTTCATAAGCAGGTATTTGTAGGATTTTATCAGATAAACTCCATATCAGCAATGTATGGCTCTTTTTCTGTTGTTGACATCATATCATAACATAATGTTCAATTCTCGTTACAGTGTCTCTCAAAGGTTTGAAGGTAAAACCAAGTTCTTTGGGAATCTGTTCTGTGCAGCAGCAGAGAGAGAACAGCAGACAGGAGAGAAGATACTGGAGCTGTTTTCATCAGTGTGCAGATATGAAACATTCCCTCTTAATGACAGATACATGTATTATGATGCCAAGAAATCTCAGTGTGATTTCCTGTTGGATCTGCACTCTCACCTGAAGGACTATGAAACTGAAACAGGGTTGAATGTCCTTCCATTATTGCAGTCAGTTTTCCAGTCAGCTCCTGCAGTCTGGTTCATAAACCTCTCAGAGAGAAAGACCTCCATCCTCCTGGAAGTGCTGAAACTCCAATCAGAGAAGAAACAAGTGGAGCTGACAGGCTGCTCATATGAAGAAAGTGAAGTGAGGAGTTTCGTACAGTGTCTGCCTTATATCTCACATCTCAGGTAGGTCAGATAATATTAAGAAGAAGTTTGTCAAAAGGTTTTTTGTCTATAATTTCTGAATTAACAAAATGTAGAAAAACATGTTATACATTATCACATCCTTGATTAAATATATTGTACATAAGATGGTTTGTAATGCAGTTTGTATGTAAATATGTATATTTGTACTTTATCTTTGCTGTTTTCACATTTCATCCATTATATTGTGTTTTAGCTGTGATCCAGAGTTCAATTGTCCTCTTGGCTGCAGCTCCTGGGGTTCACCCTTCATAGTTTTATAGGTCACATGCTGTTTTTCTCAACAAAAGATAACCCTGGAAATCCTTTTTATGTTGCACTAGAACTGTATGAAGTCAGTAATAATTTTACAGAATGATTCAGGTAAAAACCTGAACAAAGTGTCTCAACTTTCTCCTCTGCTCTGCATGCAGTGAGTGAAGACACTAACAGACACGACGGCGCCCTCTTTAACAGAGATACACAGGCTTTCTTACAGTTCCACTAGTACTGTATGAAGGTTCATAGAGTTTTACACAGTGATGGCTGGTAAAACTTGTGTTCCAGTATTTCAGGCTTTGGAGCTCATTGATTAATAAATGTTTTGGTGTCAAACTCCTGTCTGGGGGGTAAGAGCACAATCATAAAAGAAAGAAAAAGGACTTTCCCCTCCCTGGTCCCCAAAACAAAGCCGAACAAAGGATTCCCACTAAAGAGAGGTGATTTATTTTACAATCGTGAGCTAAAAGTTGAACAAATACTAAATGTTATTGTACAGCGCCTTTCTAGTCTTCCGACCACTCAAAGCGCTTTTACACTACTAGCCACATTCACCCTTTCACACACGGCAAAATCCATTGAACAGAAACTAACGCATTCATACCCATTCACTGCATCGGAAGCAATTTGGGATTCAGTATCTTGCTCAAGGATATTTCGACATGTGGCAGTAGGAGCCAGGGATCGAACCAACAACCTTCCGATTAGTGGACAACCCGCTCTTCCTCTGAGCCACAGCCACCCTGTGGCAGGTCTAGAAACCAACTTCAGGGTGAACCAAGGCCAAAACAATAAACAGAGATCTAACTTCTCCAAACTAGTGATTGCTAATTCCTAGGTGAAAGTAAATAAAACCAAAGACATTTACTAACTCTAACTCTCTAACATGAAAAGCAGGATAAAATAGGGCAAAAGGAATGTCAGTTCACCTCTACAACATCCACTATATACAAACCAGAAAAATAGAATAATAATATTGACACAAATCTCCAATATTTTCAAGCGAATTTACAACAAATGTTTTTACAGAACTAACCAAATAACACAATAGATTCTTTGAGAACCGAGGAAAGAAAGATGCTGAGTGTTGGGAGGTCAAGACATTTTAAAAGTGCCGGGTGTTGCGCAGAAACAAACCAGCAGTGGACACTCAACCTGCCAGTCAGGAGGAGACCCACCATCCCATCATTTAGTGACTAACATTTAGTGAAGAATTTCATTCAGTAAAAATCCACATATAACCCTTAAAATCCTTGTTTTTGATTTCACTGTATGATGTTCATTAGCAGGTATTTGTAGGCTTTTATCAGATAAACTCCATATCAGTAATGTATGGCTCTTTTTCTGCTGTTGACATCATATCATAACAAAATGTTCAATTCTCATTACAGTGTCTATTACTGGTTTGAAGGTAAAGCCAAGTTCTTTGGGAATCTGTTCTGTGCAGCAGCAGAGAGAGAAAAGCAGACAGGAGAGAAGATACTGGAGTTGTTATCATCAGTGTGCAGATATGAAACATTCCCTTTTAATGACATGGATGAATATGATGATGATGATGAGAGGGAATATCAGTGTGATTTCCTGCTGGATCTTTACTCCCACCTGAAGGACTATGAGACTAAAACATGGTTGAGTGTCCTTCCATCATCACAGTCAGTTCTCCAGTCAGTTCCTGCAGTCTGGTTCATAAACCTCTCAAAGAGAAATACCTCCATCCTCCTGGAAGTGCTGAAACTCCAATCAGAGAAGAAACAAGTGAAGCTGACAGGCTGCTCACATGAAGAGAGTGAAGTGAGGAGTTTCCTACAGTGTCTGCCTTATATCTCACAGCTCAGGTAAATTAACTGTTCATCACATGACTTCAGTTACATTTGTGGAATTGTGTTCTTACATCTACAGCAACTCACTGTTAGTTTGTAATATTGAAAAGTAACTCCATGCCATCAGGATGTATACTCATAAGTATAATCATAAAAGTACTACTTTACACATTCCACTTTACAGCAGCATCACGTTATGTGACCTCTCGTCAGTTGAGCAGGTTGGCAGAGGAGAAGCAATGTCAGCAGTTTATTTTGGTCTGAAAAACAGTGGTGTCAGTGCATCCCTCCCTCTAAGTACATCAATGTGTTAGTGTTGGATTTACTGTACGACTCATCTGAAGACACTTATGAAGTGGTTCACATTTTGAGGACTGAATCATGAACATATTTGGTACCCAAATAAAATTGGTTATGGATACTGGATGGGACACTCATTCACTTGCTACCAGTGACGGCTGGTGGAGATTTTGGGTGGGTGGGCTAACAAGTGCATTACACTCATCAATACGTCACACAGCAGCCACAGCAGCAGCACATCAAGTTACAGCAACAACATTTTATACTTTGTTATAGCAAGGGCTCTACGGCAACACTGGGGAGACAAACCCAAAAGAAAGACCTGATGCCAAAGAAAAATCTCTCTCTCTCTCTCTCTCTCTCTCTCTCTCTCTCCTCTGTACACATCAGCACATGCCAATTGCGCTACAACAACATTATAGAAAAATACCAGCAACAATTTGCAACACCATAAATCTATAAAACCAAAGCAAAAATAATTATTTGTAGAAGGGAGAGTTGTTTCAGAGCTTGGGCATACCTTATTTAAAACGCAGCTCACATCGACACAAACAGGTCAATCACCATGTCAGACTCCACCCTGCTGTACCTCACCATCAGCTCACCTTTCAGTTTCTCCCTGAAGATCATTGGGTAATGTTCACATGCAAAGACAACAAGTGCCTGGCTTTCTCAAAGCGAGCCTTTGACTTCTCGACCATTAAGTCACAGCACTGTGCGGCTACTGAGACATTATCAGAGCGCCGCATCCTGCGCGGGCGTTACAGCGGCTGCAGCTGTGTCCACATCTGGATTTGGCTGATTGTCATCTGTGGTCAGCAGTTCAGATATGAAGCATGAAAAATGATCCAGGCCCTGTCTCGTTTTGAGACAATCTGTGGTCTTAGACGTGTACTTTGCAACCTGTGTGTTTGACAGGTGATCAGCTAATTGACTGTGTAAAAAAGAGAACTGGAGTGAAGTGGGAGATTCATTGGACCCCCGCAGGGCGAGCTCATGTCCCCCACATAATATAATACAGTCCACAGTCCGTGATAGTGAATGTCTGTGTTTCTTTACCAGCTCGTTGTGTCTCTGTACAGGATGCAGTGACTCTCATTAAGCTGACAGCTGATGTTCACTTTACCCATCAATGACAGCTTTACGCTGTTTCCAATGTGGCTCGTGCTGCATTCATGTTTCCTAACTTTGTCGGATAAATGTTTTAAATCCACAATTCCTTGTTGGGTCCAAACCAAGTCTCCTCCAAACAGCAAACATGGGAAACAGAAAAGTGAATTCCTAGCTACACTTGCTGTTAGCCAGTCCGTTAGCTGAAACCACGGAACACAAAATTACGATTTTGTCGTTCGTCCTTTTCTGTTATTTGAACACCTTTTTGATGAGGTGTTCTCAATCTCTGTATTTCCATTTTTTCCTCCAAAGACTTTAAAGAAAATTGATTAGAAAGTAATGTTCATGCTAATGCCTGCCATTACTACGAACTAGCATCACTGTAACTACTGTGCTGTGATTGGTCGAAGGTCACCGTACTGTAGCTGCTGCGCTGTGATTGGTCGAAGGTCACTGTACTGTAGCTACTGCGCTGTGATTGGTCGAAGGTCACTGTACTGTAACTACTGCGCTGTGATTGGTCGAAGGTCACTGTACTGTAGCTACTGCGCTGTGATTGGTCGAAGGTCACTGTACTGTAACTACTGCGCTGTGATTGGTCGAAGGTCACTGTACTGTAGCTACTGCGCTGTTATTGGTCGAAGGTCAGCCTTATGAAGGGGGCGTGTCACGTCACCTGTCAATCACAATCAAATGGACGCTTACGCTACTGTGCTTTGGCTGACTACATTTAGCCCATTCACAGAAAAAAACCCAAGATATTTCATATATCCTGGGTTTTTTCTGTCACTTTTTGGTGCTGTTGCTGCTCTAGGTTCTACCAAAATTCCAACAATATGTTCTAAGGTTTTTAATAAATAGTTTTTCATCTTTACTGTAAAAGATAGGGGGGGCTTAGCCCTGTTAGTCCATATGTACCAGCCGTCCCTGCTGGCTATCCTGATTGTAGGAGAGTGAGCAGTGACTGAGCATGATGTTTGAACTGTGAATAATCCAGAGGAGTCAATGAGAGGACTTTCAACAAGTACCTTTGCAAAGATAAATTAGGTAACATCTCTTCAGTTTAATTTTAAAGCAATGGAAAAAAGTAAAACACAAGGAATGCTAACTTAATATTAGCTGTATAGTGAGCAGCAAATTAAGATTTCAGACACAAGAAATTATCATCATTTAGTGTCAGGACAGACAGATGTAGTGTAGCAACTGTAATTTACACGTCTTTCATTTCAACTTTAAAGTTTAATTTGATTTTATACAGCACAGCCCATCAGTAGTGTGTTGCTGTTTTATGCAGCTGAGATCAAATCATCATAAAATGTTTCCTTCTCTTTATTTCAGTTTTGTTCCTCAGTCGTCAGATCGTTATGAAGAAACCAAGTTCTTTGGTAATCTGTTCTGTGCAGCAGCAGAGAGAGAACAGCAGACAGGAGAGAAGATACTGGAGCTGTTATCATCAGTGTGCAAATATAAAAAATCCCTCTTAGAGAGAAATGGTGTGATTTCCAGCTGGACCTTTACTCTTATTGGTCTATAACAGGCTTGAGTGTCCTTCCATCATTACAGTCAGTTCTCCAGTCAGCTCCTGCAGTCTGGTCCATAAACCTCTCAGAGAGAAAGACCTCCATCCTCCTGGAAGTGCTGAAACTCCAATCAGAGAAGAAACAAGTGAAGCTGACAGGCTGCTCACATGAAGAGAGTGAAGTGAGGAGTTTCCTACAGTGTCTGCCTTATATCTCACAGCTCAGGTAAATTAATTGTTCATCAAATGACTTCAGTTACATTTGTGGAATTGTGTTCTTACATCTACAGCAACTCACTGTTAGTTTGTAATATTGAAAAGTAACTCCATGCCATCAGGATGTGTTCTCATAAGTGTAATCATAAAAGTACTACTTTACATATTCCACTTTACAGCAGCATCACGTTATGTGACCTCTCGTTAGTTGAGCAGGTTGGCAGAGGAGAAGCAATGTCAGCAGTTTATTTTGGTCTGAAAAACAGTGGTGTCGGTGCATCCCTCCCTCTAAGTACATCAATGTGTTAGTGTTGGATTTACTGTACCACTCATCTGAAGACACTTATGAAGTGGTTCACATTTTGAGGACTGAATCATGACCATATTTGGTCCCCAAATATAATTGGTTATGGATACTGGATGGGACACTCATTCACTGGCTACCCTGATTGTAGGAGAGTGAGCAGTGACTGAGTAGGATGTTTGAACTGTGAATAATCCAGAGGAGTCAATGAGAGGACTTTGATCAAGTACTTTTGCAAAGATAAATTAGGTAACATCTCTTCAGTTTAATTTTACAGCAATTAAAAAAAATAAAACACAAGGAATGCTAAATTTATATTCCTTTCAACTGAAGACTGGACTGAACTGTACTGATCACGATGAGCATTGATCCAGCTGTATAGTGAGCAGCAAATTAAGATTTCAGACACCAGAAACAATCATCATTTAGTGTCAGCACAGACAGATGTAGTGTAGCAACTGTAATTTACACGACTTTCATTTCAGGAGCAAGGTGAAGCATTGCACAACAGGATTTTAAATAACTTTTGTTATTCCACTCTGTATATTTATTTATTGTGAATATATTTTACTCTTGAAACTTAATTTGATTTTAAACAGCCCAGCCCATCAGTAGTGTGTTGCTGTTTTATGCAGCTGAGATCAAATCATCATAAAATGTTTCCTTCTCTTTATTTCAGTTTTGTTCCTCAGTCGTCAGATCGTTATGAAGAAACCAAGTTCTTTGGGAATCTGTTCTGTGCAGCAGCAGAGAGAGAACAGCAGACAGGAGAGAAGATACTGGAGCTGTTATCATCAGTGTGCAGATATCAAACATTCCCTCTTAAAGAGAAATGGTGTGATTTCCTGCTGGACCTTTACTCTTATTATTGTGAAACAGGCTTGAGTGTCCTTCCATCATTACAGTCAGTTCTCCAGTCAGCTCCTGCAGTCTGGTCCATAAACCTCTCAGAGAGAAAGATCTCCATCCTCCTGGAAGTGCTGAAACTCCAATCAGAGAAGAAACAAGTGAAGCTGACAGACTGCTCACATGAAGAGAGTGAAGTGAGGAGTTTCCTACAGTGTCTGCCTTATATCTCACAGCTCAGGTAAGTCTGATAATATTGAAAGGAAGTTTGTGAAAACATTATTTGACTATAATTTAAAATTGAACAAAATGTTGAAAGAGATGATTTCTGTCTGTCAGTGGATTAATTATTCATCAGTATTTTAATATAGTTTGACATTATCACAGCTAATAACACACATACAATTAGACTATTTCATCTGACTGTACAAATGTTCTCTCAATTTAACATAATCTGTACATTAGATGGTTTGTCCCACAAGATTGTTCCTGCCAATAAAAACAGTGGTCAATTCCTAATTTAATAATTAATGCATTTTAATACTTAATCGAAATGTTGTTAAGAATAGTAATTACTAATAAATAAATAGATAAGGCTATACTATAAACATAAAGCTTTAAATATACTCTGTTATCAGTATCAGATACTGCTTCTAGTGAGCGGTCTCAAAAACCCGACCGGAGCACGTTTAGAGTTTCATCTTGGAAAACAATAGACAGCACAGCAATGTCACGCTACCGCTGACTGGTGGTCTGTAGGCTGTGTAGCTACTGAGGCACACAGACAAATCTCTCTACACACAGACAAATCCCCACATGCATTTGCAGATCTGCCACAGCAGAAGTTTAGCAAAAGTCATGTCTAAAAAGAGCCAATTGAGAGTCTTGTCTGAATTGTAACTGATGAATTGTCTGTATTTCCAGCTCTCGGAGTAAAAAGTTAGACTGAGTCATTAATATGTTTGTCTGCTTTTACAGATTTCTCTACATATATACAAATGTCAATACATTTGTTGATCTGATTATACAAACACAGATTTAGACATAGCTACACAATTCTCCACTCACATTTCTGAATAGTTTTGCTACCATAGATATGTTAAGATACTTGGAGAGATATTCACTTAGAAAAATCTTGGTAACAATTTCCACACAGAAATTCTTAGTAGAATTCAGAGAGGATATTTCAAGTGACCTTTTATTTATGTTTAAGACTAGTCTCTATTAAAACTTCTTAAGTTAACTTTAATAGCTGTTTTTTTGTCTTTGTCAGTAAATTTTCCATGGCAGTTTTACTTAGACTATGTACCGTAAAACTTCCAATAAAAACAGGGTCCCAAATAAACACAGGTCTCCAATAAAGGCCTGGTCTGGATTTTATAGAAATGATCTCAATGTATAAAACCTCTTAAAACCCACCGGGTCGCCCGTGTTATATCCCAACTGGTGTTCAAACTAACTGGTTGCTGTACGTGTGTGCGTGTTGTGTGCTGCAGCTGTGATGTGTCTCTGTCACCAGATTCGTCAGACATTCACAAACATATTACTGGTGATTTTCAAGTCTCATATCTACAGTAGTAAATGTATAAGTGAGCCCTACATTACAGCCAAACACAGAAAAAATACATTCTAGAAAATATAAGTTTAAATAGCATCAAGCTGGTTTCGATCTTACTGGAGCAAAACCGATACAGTTCCCCAGCGTATTGCTTTTGTCCATGAGCCACTGGAGTGACTCTGTCTCACTGCTTCCAGTCATGTATTGATTGATTACGTCAGCACCCAGGTAACATTTATTTGTGGGTTGATCTAAAACAACTGGTTACCTCGTGCTTGTTGTTGAAAATATACAAACATGTTTATCAGAGTTCTTTCTCGAGGCTACCGTCACACTGACCACTATATTACAGCCCCCTATGACACTAGACGTTATGACAAAGAAATATTTTCAGACAGTGAAGATGTAACTTAGATAATACTGTCAAAATATACGAAGTGATTGTGAGCCACACACAGATTGTTTGTGTTAGTTCATTCAGATTCACCAGCACTGTAAACAACAGAGACAGAAAAAATTCTGAAGCGATCATAAATTCTGTACAGTCTGTGTCCGTTCCTCCGTTGTTTATATTCCTTTAGTAGTAGTCCTTTCATACGTAATATGGAGCCCCTAAAGGGATATGGGGGAAAAAAAGTTAAACATTTCTTGTGAGCACGACATACTATCTCGCAGCACGAGATGCCTCTAGGCTCATTAACTGCGGTTAAGTCAGCCTTTACTAGGGTGGCCATTCGTCCGCTTTAGGCCGGACAGTGCGGCTCTTAAATGCCCTGTCCAGCTGCAGGCGCAGCCTTAAGCCGGACACTCATTTGTCCTCCTTTTGAGAAAATAACAAAAAAGGCCCACCTTTTGACACATTACCTTGTTAGTTTAATACTTATTGGCTAAGAATGTGTGTCAAAATAAGTAATTTCATTGGTTACATATTCATGTTAGACCTATCAACACATGTCTAATTTAAATATTCAAATGAGCCATGTGTTGATGCACCATGCTCACTGAGAGCTGTCAATCAAGCTCCCAGACAGAGAATGTAACAAATATGGACTTTTATTGTTGAATTTCTCCACATTGGTGCAGTGAAAATGCTTGATATTAAGTATGTTTTTTATTAATCATGGTCGCATTAAACACTTTAATGTAACATTTTATTTTATATGTAGGTTACTGTTCTTAATTCCCTTTTATTTTGAAAACCGGAAGTAAATACGCTGTTTCTCCGCAATTACCATAGTGCTGAGAATATAACACTTATATAATATATATAATATATATATATAAAACACTCTTAATTGTGAGGCTGATTTGACCTCGGAGATCAGAGTAAAGGTTTAACCGCAGTTAATGAGCCTAGAGGCATAACACACAGGAAGCACAACTGCCTGTGCTTAATATAAGGTTTCTCGTGCTCACGAGAAACGTTTCATTTTTTTTCTTTTTCCCCATGTCCCTTTAGGGGCTCCATACTTTCATGGTGTGTGTGTGTGATTTCACTGTATGATGTTCATTAGCAGGTATTTGTAGGCTTTTATCAGATAAACTCCATATCAGTAATGTATGGCTCTTTTTCTGTTGTTGACATCATATCATAACAAAATGTTCAATTCTTGTTACAGTGTCTCTCTGAGGTTTAAAGGTGCAGCCAAGTTCTTTGGGAATCTGTTCTGTGCAGCAGCAGAGAGAGAACAGCAGACAGGAGAGAAGATACTGGAGCTGTTATCATCAGTGTGCAGATATAAAACATTCCCTCTTAATGAAGAGGATGATGATGAATATCAGTGTGATTTCCTGCTGGATCTTTGCTCCCACCTGAAGGACTATGAGACTAAAACAGGCTTGAGTGTCCTTCCATCATTACAGTCAGTTCTCCAGTCAGCTCCTGCAGTCTGGTTCATAAACCTCTCAGAGAGAAAGCCCTCCATCCTCCTGGAAGTGCTGAAACTCCAATCAGAGAAGAAACAAGTGGAGCTGACAGACTGCTCACATGAAGAGAGTGAAGTGAGGAGTTTCCTACAGTGTCTGCCTTATATCTCACAGCTCAGGTTAGTCTGATAATATTGAAAGGAAGTTTGTGAAAACATTATTTGACTATAATTTAAAATTGAACAAAATGTTGAAAGAGATGATTGCTGTCTGTCAGTGGATTCATTTTTCAGTATTTTAAAGGACAATTCCAGCACAAAATGAACCTGGGGTTAATAACACATGTGTCCCGAGTTGGTTCGGTCTCTGGGATATGTTTTCATTCTAATCACACGTGACCAGTTTTAGCACAAACCTCTAATTAGCTTATAACGCTGGTCAACGGGGCACCGAGTAACGTGAAAAGAAATCTATTTCTATTCCACAAACAAGACTCAAAATAGCACCACACTTACACGGTAGCATAATGAGGGCCCCTACCTGTAAACTGAAGCATTGAGAATGTTGTAAGTGTACAGACAGTTTATTAAAAAGATAGTTTAGAACAACAGTAGCGTTCACATATACAGGCGGGCGCCATCTTGGGAAAACAGTCACGTGACCAGTCGAATTTGCTCAATATATCAGAAATAATCGCACCGATATAAAACATAACTCATCTAGTGTACTTACTCAGTGGATAACTGCTTCTGGTCCGTCCGGTATGAGTCGCTGCCTCCAATTTATTTTCGGGACATGGGAAAAAGTTTCAAGTGCAGCTCTGTTTATCAGAGAGGGGAAATCTTCACACTGTACAAAACACTGCGTGCAACACAGCCACTCCTCTTCAGTGGCCATAGCTTCACAATGTCCGCAGGTACACCACCAGTTTCCTGAAGTACGAGGCTGTGTTGCAGCATTGACTACCAGTAGCTCTCTCTCTCTCTCTCTTCTCTCTCTGTCTCTCTCTCTCTCACTCTCTCTCTCTGTCTTGCTCTCTCGCTCTCTCTCTCTGTCTCTCTCGCTCTCTCTCTCTGTCTCTCTCTGTCTCTCTCTCTCTCACTCTCTCTCTCTGTCTTGCTCTCTCGCTCTCTCTCTCTGTCTCTCTCGCTCTCCCTCTCTGTCTCTCTCTCTCTCTCTCTCTCTCTCTCTCTCTCTCTCTCTCGCTCTCCCTCTCTGTCTCTCTCTCTCTGTCTCTCTCTCTCTCTCTCTCTCTCTCTCTCTCTCTCTCTCTCTCTCTCCTGCAGCTCTTCGTCTGTATATTCCGACTCGAAAAGATAAGGATGTCCATCAAACTGAAAGGGTTCGTTGTCGATGTCTTCAGATTCAGTTGAATAATCCGCCATCTCTTCAGTGTGTATCCTGTGGAAGCACTAGTAGACTAGTAGTCTCTGTTGCGTTCAGGGCTTTCTTCCAGCAACAACGTGAGTTCATGTGAGATGGTGTGTTCAAGTCACATCTCAGAGAGTTGGACTGGTCACCACTGTTTTCCCAAGATGGCGCCCGCCTGTATATGTGCACACTACTGTTCTAAACTATCTTTTTAATAAACTGTCTGTACACTTACAACGTTCTCAATGCTTCAGTTTACAGGTAGGGGCCCTCATTATGCTACCGTGTAAGTGTGGTGCTATTTTGAGTCTTGTTTGTGGAATAGAAATAGATTTCTTTTCACGTTACTCGGTGCCCCGTTGACCAGCGTTATAAGCTAATTAGCGGTTTGTGCTAAAACTGGTAACGTGTGATTAAAATGAAAACATATCCCAGAGACCGAACCAACTCGGGACACATGTTATTAACCCCAGGTTCATTTTGTGCTGGAATTGTCCTTTAATATAGTTTGATATTATCACAGCTAATAACACACATACAATTAGACTATTTCATCTGACTGTACAAATGTTCTCTCAATTTAACATAATCTGTACATTAGATGGTTTGTCCCATAAGATTGTTCCTGCCAATAAAACAGTGGTCAATTCCTAATTTAATAATTAATGCATTTTAATACCTAATCTACAATGTTGTTAAGAATAGTAATTAATAATAAATAAATAAATAAGGCTACACTATAAACATAAAGCTTTAAATATACTCTGTGATCAGTATCAGATACTGCTTCTAGTGAGCGGTCTCAAAAACCCGACCGGAGCACCTTTAGAGTTTCATCTTGGAAAACAATAGACAGCACAGCAGTGTCACGCTACCGCTGACTGGTGGTCTGTAGGCTGTGTAGCTACTGAGGCACACAGATAAATCTCTCTACACACACACACAAATCCCCACATGCATTTGCAGATCTGCCACAGCAGAAGTTTAGCAAAAGTCATGTCTAAAAAGAGCCAACTGAGAGTCTTGTCTGAGTTGTAACCGATGAATTGTCTGTATTTCCAGCTCTCGGAGCAAAAAGTTAGACCGAGTCATTGATATGTTTGTCTGCTTTTACAGATTTCTCTACATATATACAAATGTCAATACATTTGTTGATCTGATAATACAAACACAGATTCAGACATAGCTACACAATTCTCCACTCACATTTGTGAATAGTTTGCTACCATAGATATGTTAAGATACTTGGAGAGATATTCACTTAGAAAAATCTTGGTAACAATTTCCACACAGAAATTCTCAGTAAAATTCACAGAGGATATTTCAAGTGACCTTTTATTTATGTTTAAGACTAGTCTCTATTAAAACGTCTTAAGTTAACTTTAATAGCTGTTTTTTGTCTTTGTCAGTAAATTTTCCATGGCAGTTTTACTTAGACTATGTACCGTAAAACTTCCAATAAAAACAGGGTCCCAAATAAACACAGGTGTCCAATAAAGGCCTGGTCTGGATTTTATAGAAATGATCTCAATGTATAAAACCTCTTAAAAACCACCAGGTCGCCTGTGTTATATCCCAACTGGTGTTCAAACTAAGTGGTTGCTGTACGTGTGTGCGTGTTGTGTGCTGCAGCTGTGATGTGTCTCTGTCACCAGATTCGTCAGACATTCACAAACATATTACTGGTGATTTTCAAGTCTCATATCTACAGTAGTAGATGTATAAGTGAGCCCTACATTACAGCCAAACACACACAAAATGTATTCTAGAAAATATAAGTTTAAATAGCATCAAGCTGGTTTTCGATCTCACTGGATCAAAACCAATACAGTTCACCAGCGTATTGCTTTTGTCCATGAGCCACTGGAGTGACTCTGTCTCACTGCTTCCAGTCATGTATTGATTGATTACGTCAGCAGCCAGGTAACATTTATTTGGGGGTTGATCTAAAGCAACTGGTTACCTCGTGCTCGTTGTTGAAAATATACAAACATGTTTATCAGAGTTCTTTCTCGAGGCTACCGTCACACTGACCACTATATTACAGCCCCCTATGACACTAGACATTATGACAAAGAAATATTTTCAGACAGTGAAGATGTAACTTACATAATACTGTCAAAATATACGAAGTGATTGTGAGCCACACACAGATTGTTTGTGTTAGTTCATTCAGATTCACCGGTGCTGTAAACAACAGAGACAGAAAAAACTCTAAATCGATCATAAATTCTGTACAGTCTGTGTCCGTTCCTCCATTGTTTATATTCCTTTAGTAGTAGTCCTTTCATACGTAATACGGAGCCCCTAAAAGGACATGGGGAAAGAAAAAAAAAAAAAGAAACGGATCTCGTGAGCACGAGAAACCTTATATTAAGCACAGGCAGTTGTGCTTCCTGTGCGTTATGCCTCTAGGCTCATTAACTGTGGTTAAGCCGTTACTCTGATCTCCGTGGTCAAATCAGCCTCACAATTAAGAATGTTATATATATATATATATTGACATCATATCATAACAAAATGTTCAATTCTTGTTACAGTGTCTCTCTGAGGTTTAAAGGTGCAGCCAAGTTCTTTGGGAATCTGTTCTGTGCAGCAGCAGAGAGAGAACAGCAGACAGGAGAGAAGATACTGGAGCTGTTATCATCAGTGTGCAGATATAAAACATTCCCTCTTAATGACAGATACATGTATTATGATGCCAATAAACATCAGTGTGATTTCCTGCTGGATCTTTGCTCCTACCTGAAGGACTATGAGACTAAAACAGGCTTGAGTGTCCTTCCATCATTACAGTCAGTTCTCCAGTCAGCTCCTGCAGTCTGGTTCATAAACCTCTCGGAGAGAAAGACCTCCATCCTCCTGGAAGTGCTGAAACTCCAATCAGAGAAGAAACAAGTGGAGCTGACAGACTGCTCACATGAAGAGAGTGAAGTGAGGAGTTTCCTACAGTGTCTGCCTTATATCTCACAGCTCAGGTAAGTCTGCTAATATTGAAAGGAAGTTTGTCAAAACATTATTTGACTATAATTTAAAATTGAACAAAATATTGAAAGAGATGATTGCTGTCTGTCAGTGGATTCATTATTCAGTATTTTAAAGGACAATTCCAGCGCAAAATGAACCTGGGGTTAATAACACATGTGTCCCGAGTTGGTTCGGTCTCTGGGATATGTTTTCATTCTAATCGCACGTGACCAGTTTTAGCACAAACCGCTAATTAGCTTATAACGCTGGTCAACGGGGCACCGAGTAACGTGAAAAGAAATCTATTTCTATTCCACAAACAAGACTCAAAATAGCACCACACTTACACGGTAGCATAATGAGGGCCCCTACCTGTAAACTGAAGCATTGAGAACGTTGTAAGTGTACAGACAGTTTATTAAAAAGATAGTTTAGAACAACAGTAGCGTTCACATATACAGGCGGGCGCCATCTTGGGAAAACAGTCACGTGACCAGTCGAATTTGCTCAATATATCAGAAATAATCGCACCGATATAAAACATAACTCATCTAGTGTACTTACTCAGTGGATAACTGTGCTTCTGGTCCCTCCGGTATGAGTCGCTGCCTCCAATTTATTTTCGGGACATGGAAAAAAGTTTCAAGTGCAGCTCTGTTTATCAGAGAGGGGAAATCTTCACACTGTACAAAACACTGCGTGCAACACAGCCACTCCTCTTCAGTGGCCATAGCTTCACAATGTCTGCAGGTACACCACCAGTTTCCTGAAGTACGAGGCTGTGTTGCAGCATTGACTACCAGTAGCTCTCTCTCTCTCTCTCTCTCTCTGTCTCTCTCGCTCTCTCTCTCTCTCTCTCTCTCTGTCTCTCTCTTGCCCTCTCTCTCGCTCTCTCTCTCTCTCTCTCTCTCTCTCTCTCTCGCTGTCTCTCTCTCTCTCTCTCTCTCTCGCTCTCTCTCTCTCTCTCGCTGTCTCTCTCTCTCTCTCTCGCTCTCTCTGTCACTCTCTCTCGTTCTCTCTCTGTCTGTCTCTCGCTCTCTCTCCCTCTCTCTGCTGTCTCTCTCTCTCTCTCTCTCTGTCTCTCTCTCTCTCTCTCTCTCTCTGAGATGGTGTGTGAGTGAGTAGCTGAGAGCGTTTCTGGTTTTGTTTCAACTTTTCGTAAGTTTTGAGAAAACTATTCTCTTTTTTTTCGGTGTGAGTGTGTTTATGAGTTATTACTTTATTATTTTCTGTTGAAAGGGCTGTTTGTTTTCGGTGTGTGTGTGTGTGTGTGTGTGTGTGTGTGTGTGTAATTGTTTGTGAGGGCAGCGTGCTCTGTGTGGCACAATGCCGGTGGCGGAGGCTGTACCCGCAGAGTTTGAGAAGCTGACTCGCAGACATGCGATCAAGCTGTTCCCCGCGGTGCAGTGCTCGGTGGAGGAAGCCGGGCTGGCTGTGGGAGAGGTGGTCGGGTATGACTGTGTGAGGTCTGCCTCACGCATGAACGGGGCCATTGTATTGTTTTTTAGACAGTACGGCTAAGGTTGGCGAGGTGGTGGAGAGGGGAGTGGTTATCAGAGACACCTTCACTCCCGTCTCCCCTCTCGTTAACCCAGCCACAAAGATTATGATTTCTAACGCTCCCCCGTTCATAAAAAATGAATTGCTGGGGAAGGAGCTGTCTAGATACGGACAACTTGTGTCACCAATTAGGATGGTTTCTCTGGGGTGTAAATCTCCTAAATTAAAGCATGTTGTGTGTCACAGAAGACAGGTGTATATGATCCTGAAAGAGAGAACAACTGATCTGAGCCTGTCTTTCTCATTTAAAGTTGACGGTTTTAATTATGTGGTTTTCGTTTCCTCAGAGACTATGAAATGTTTTGGTTGTGGGGCAGAGGGACACCTGATCCGCTCCTGCCCAGGGGGTTGCGGAGCGCGGCGGGCTGCTCCGGGGGGGGATCCACCCGTTGCTGCTGCGGTGGCTCCGGGGGGGGATCCACCCGTTGCTGTTGCGGTGGCTCCGGGGGGGGATCCACCCGTTGTTGCTGCTGCGGCTCAGGGGGGAGATCCACCCGTTGTTGCGGTGGCTCCGGGGGGTGATCCACCCGCGGATTCCGCCCCTGCCCCGGTAACCGTGTGGGGCACTCCAGTTGCTGCTGTGGGGCCGGGTTTTCCTGCTCCGGTGGGGCTGTCCGCCGCGGGTGATCCTCCCGCGGTGCCGGTCCCCGTGGTTGAGGGGGCTCTGGTCCCCGTGGTTGAGGGGGCTCTGGTTCCTGTGTTTGAGGGGGCTCTGGGTCCTGTGTTTGAGGGGGCTCTGGGTCCTGTGTTTGAGGGGGCTCTGGGTCCTGTGGTGTCTTCTGAGGCAAAAAGTGAAGGCATGACAAGTGAGCAGAGTGACATGATTGAAGAAATGATGGAGGAGGATATGTCAGATGACGATCTCCTCAAAATGTCCCAGAAAAGAAAAAACACTGAGTCTGAAAAAAAGAACAGTAAAACAAAGAAAACGAGTGTCCAGATGTCCACAGAGTCAGAGAGTGATTTCCCCCTGACTCAGGAGGACTCTCAGCGTGGCTACTCTCCGGAGAAAATTAAAACTTTCCTGGAGCAGACTAAAGGCTCCAGGCTGCTTAATGTAGGAGATTTCTTTCCCGACCTGCAATTATTTATTAGGTCAGCCAGGCCGCTCACCAGGAAGAGCTTTGGGGAGGAAGTTTTAACAGAGCAAGAGATATACAGACTGAAAAAACTCGTACTGAAGGTAAAAGCTCAAATCATCAATGATGAAGATGATTTTTAGATGTTTTTACCTTTTACTGACTGCTCTTCTTACTGCTGTTCATTTTTTATCCATGTGTGATTTTAATATCAGCACCTTAAACCTGAACGGGGCCAGGTCTGATTTTAAACGAGCCACTCTTTTTAAACTGATGGAGACTAGAAGAATTGATGTCATGTTTGTTCAGGAAACTCACAGCACCACAGACAATGAAAGTGACTGGAAAAGGGCTTTTAAAGGGGAGGTGGTTTTAAGCCACAGGTCCAGTCTGAGTGGAGGAGTGGGGATTTTATTTGCTCAGAGTTTTTTACCTTTTTCTTTTACTGTTGATGAAGTCATTCCAGGTGTTTTATTGAAAGTTAAAGCTGTCTTTGAAAATGTGAAACTTGTGTTTTTAAATGTCTATGCTCCCACTAACGCGGTGGACAGGGTAGCATTTTTAAACATTTTAAGTGACTGTGTTAAGAACTGTGAGGATGATGGTTTTATGTTTTTAGGGGGTGATTTTAACTGCACAGAAAATCCAACCCTAGACAGGAACCATCCTGAGCCACACCCTCCTTCATCTCACACACTCAGACAGCTGATGGAGAACCAGGAGCTGAGTGATGTGTGGAGGGTTTTTAACAGTCAGCACAGACAGTACACCTGGAGCCACAGTAGGGAGGGGGTTTTATCTCTGGCCAGACTGGACCGCTTTTATTGTTTTAAACACCATTTGAATATTTTTACGAGGTGTTTTATTCAGCCTGTGGGTTTTAGTGATCATTTTTTAGTCTCCTGTGGTGTTTTTATCAAAAACATCCGTTTAAAGAGCGCCTATTGGCATTTTAACACGGGCCTTTTAAATGACCAGGCTTTTAAAACTGCTTTTAAGTTTTTTTGGGAATCCCACAGAGAGAGCAGGCCTGCCTTCACTAACATACAACAGTGGTGGGACTTTGGTAAGACACAGATAAAACAGCTCTGCCAGCAGTTCACTCGCGGTGTCACTACAGACTTAACCCGGTCCATGAAAGATCTGGAGACGCAGGTGGTGGAGCTGCAGACTTTAGCAGACTCTACAGCAAATCGAGGGCTTTTAGATTCCCTCAAGTCTAAAAAGTCGGCCATAGCCAACCTGCTGGGCGTCTCAGCACAGGGGGCTCTGGTTAGGTCTAGGTTTATGAACATCACACAGATGGACGCCCCCTCTCGCTTCTTCTTTGGGCTGGAGCGGAAAAATGGACAAAGGAAGACCATTCATTCTTTACGAACGGGTAGCGGCTCCGAAGTCTCAGACTCATCTGAGATCAGGAAGTATGCTGCCGAGTTTTACAGAAACCTGTTTAAGAGTGAGTGGACACATAATCCAGATGTGCACAGCAGCTTCCTCAGCGGTCTCCCTCAGGTCAGCGAGGCTGACAACAACGAGCTGGCAGCAGAGGTGACGCTGCAGGAGCTCCACACTGCCACCATGAGCCTACAGAGCGGCAGAGCTCCAGGCATGGACGGCCTTCCTGCCGACTTTTACAAGTGTTTCTGGTCCACAATAGGACCAGATCTACTAGAGGTAATAAATGAAAGCCTGAAGACCGGCAGACTGCCTCTGAGCTGCAGGAGGGCCGCAATAACCCTGCTGCCAAAAAAGGGAGACCTGCAGGAACTGAAAAACTGGAGGCCGGTCTCATTGCTGTGCACGGATTATAAGATCCTGTCCAAAGCTCTGGCCCTTAGACTGAGAGAGGTGATGGCGTCCATCATCCACCCTGACCAGACCTACTGTGTGCCCGGCAGGCTCATCAGTGACAACGTCACTTTAATTCGAGACATTTTGGAGCTCTCCAGTTCATTGGGCATAGAGACTGGTCTGATTTCAATAGACCAAGAAAAGGCTTTTGACCGGGTTGAACACCAGTACCTGTGGCAGACTCTGGCTGCTTTTGGGTTCAACCCTGGTTTCATAGCCATGGTCCGGGTTCTCTATAGTGATATCGCGAGTGTTCTGAAAATTAACGGCGGGCTGAGCGCACCATTTGGGATCCAGAGAGGGGTAAGGCAGGGCTGCTCTCTCTCTGGGATGTTATATTCGGTAGCCATCGAGCCTCTGCTCCACAAACTTAGAGATAAACTTACAGGTGTGTGTTTCCCCCAGTGTCCCGTGTCTTTTAAACTGTCTGTGTACGCAGATGATCTCATTGTTTTAGTTAATTCACAACGAGATATTGACATTTTAACTGGCACTGTGAAAGACTTTGGTTTTATTTCATC